CCTTTACACTGTACTCTATTTTATATGAATATTTAACCCCGGTTACGCTTTTTTATTCTGCACCGGTAGTCACTGATGTACAATACACGTACAATATGCTCCATGAACATACCCTGGTAGGCCTGCTGATTAGCTAAGGGTCTTAGAAGAAACATGAGGGATGATCATCAAAAATTTCAAAACCCCCAAATTAACAAGGTGATGAATTCTGTTCTGGAACTGGGAAATATTTCAAAGCTATGGGAAGTAAAAAATGTAGCTCTCATTCAGCAATTATAAGATGAGAAATACATCTTTGAAAGATTGAATGAAATATGAAGAAAGATTTGAAAGATATACATCTTTGAAAGGTTAAGAATCTTTCAAAAATATTACATAAAATAATTGCTTTAGACAGCATTGAAGAGTCCTCTTGGTACACTTGTACAGTTTTTGGCTTTCTAGACTTTGGTTTCAACTCAGAAGAAACTCAGTCACAGATGTAAGGCTCTGCAAGCCCCAGACCCCTCTGCCACTCCAGAGACCGGACCGCTGAGAACTCAAGCTGGAGCTAGGTTCCGGTGCCCACTGAAGCCGACCCTGGAGCCCTGCCCTTGTTTCGAGGCAGATGCTGCCACTGGGAATCACCACTGGACCATGCATGAGGCTGAGAGTCCGAGGAGGGGACCAGCGAGGAGCACCCAACAGGGTGTTTCAAAGGCCACATGTGGTCCGAAACCCTGACCATCTCAGGAGACGGGTGCACACATCAGCTTGGAGCCTATGGCTTGGGAAAGAGGCTTGAGGAGCTTACCTGGCATGAAAGAGCCATCAGAGAAGATGTCCACTGAGACCCTGGAACCTCACTGCCCTGGACCAGACCACAACATCAGGCTTTGATCTTGCTCCTTTTCTTTTACTTTCCACCTATGAATCTTTAATCTTACTAGGGTATTAGGTATCCAGCAGGGCTGCTGAAGCAGACCCCATGGGGAAGTTAGAAGGAAAAACACACCAGCTCTGGATCCTCGCTAGGCTTTGGGCTGCTCACATCAAGTCCATGTGCAGAGACATGAGAAGCTTTGAAGTAAATAAGCTAGGTACCCAGGGTGTTTCAATAATTCAAGAATGAAGGAATTACGGAGGGGGCTTGAGTTGTAATTTTAGTTTTATGTGCCTAATCTCTGCTTAAATTCAGGTGCCTTCGAAGATTTTAAATCTGATTCTAATTTGAAACGCACTGCTACAAGCTCTTTCCTCACTGTCAGCTGAAAAGCAAGGGCTCTGGGAAGTTGTCTGGGGAAAGGTAAATCTTTTCTATCACACTGAGGTACTGTGGATGCCAAATAGAATGAGGCAGCTTTAAAGGATTTTCCCAAGTCAGCTCAGAAAAAGTTATTATATAGGATTTATGAACCAGCTTCTCATAAATTTAATAATGACTCACCATTTCCTTCACTTGCTAGATTGCTTAGTACTGATTTGGATGCTCTGATAAAGCAGCATTAATAAGAAGCTGTGTGATTTACCTTGAGGTGGTATTTCATTCTCTGAAGATAGTTCAGATCTGATATCAGAATGAAGGAAAATAATGCTTGCATAAAAGAAGGTATAAGTATGGTATATTCAAGAAATATTTTTAAACTGCTATTCTTAGAGCTGTTTCAAATGAATCTGGATTTCTCCCCTAAACCCTATGACAAGGCAGGAAGAGAGCCAAAATGCCCTGAGCATAGGTAACTGATCAGAGAGTCTCTTTAAGGTGAAAGAATTTAGGAAGGTATCACCTCCAAACTGTTCTGTCTGCTTGCCTCGTCATGTTTAGCATGAATGCACTTCATCTGTGTAACTGGAAAAACAGGCCATTTAGCTTAAACTGCTGCTGGAAGCTGGTAAACTAAACTGACTGCGCAGGAGTGGATGGGTGCTTGGACAGCTGGGTGTCTGACTTCACCTGGGTGGAGACTGACAGAGCGGGAGAAACAAATGGGCTGTGGCAGCATCTGGGCCATCCGACCACAGTCTCAGCTCCCGCCTTTACTGTCACGGTAACTGGATAAAAGTGAGGTAGAAGAGCGATACAAGCAATATATCAGCATATCGAGGTCCTAATGGTAATAATTAAAAAAGGAATCATCATTACTAGGAAAGAAGAAAAAACCTGTTCTGTTCCTGACCGATACTATGTTGGAGAGTAAACATCCTGAATCCCATTGGGCTGGTCTTACAACCGCTGAAAAAGCCTTTTTCATAAAGACCTTTTTTTTTTTCAAACTTAGTAGCAGTGGAATATGTTGGCCCAGTTCAAAATACACACATGAAATTTGAGTTCTACTGTGAAACGAATTGTGGAACAAAGACCTGGTACATTTGCATGTGTGTTGTCTTTCATTAATTCAATACCCAATTCAATACATGACAAAATCAAAGATTTCTTCCAGTCAACAGTCCTGAAATCCTAGCTGGGCTCTAAAATTACTGACTGTACCTTCATTAGTAATAAAACCACAGTCTGAACACTAGTGGTTTGTCCACCGATATTGTGTTAAAGAAGTCAGGGGCCCTCCTTGTAAGCATTCTCACCTGTGAACAAAACAAGTCAGAACGTGTCTGAATGAGCTTAGGCCTGACAGTGTTACTTACTAAGAGTGGAAGTTTCAAGTGGTGTGGTTTTTTTCCTTAAAAAACTGCTGTGAAAAGTCTGCCTTCCTTTGCTTTGTTTCAGATTAATTTTCTGTTTTCTCCTTCTGCATCCTCAGGAAGGATGAACATCTTTTTTTTTTCAATGGTCACATCTTCCCTCATTCCTCCCTAATTTGTTATCTTCTAAAATTCTTCAGCTTACAGCTCAAAGCAGCCCCCATATTTGACTTTGTTGGTGTTATGGGTTTGCATGACAAGATTTTTGTAGCGGGAGTGGGTGGGGAGGTGGGGGTGGGGCTATAGGGGTGGTGTCTGTGAGAAGCTGCAAGAACATTCCCCCATGTCTAACAGAGCCAGTGCCAGCCGGCTCTAAGACGGACCCACTGCTGGCCAAGGCCCCGCCAATCATTTTTTCTTCCCTTGCAGCCCATGATGAAGACCATGGTGAGGCAGGTTGTCCCCCTGCAGTCCATGGAGGTCCATGGTGGAGCAGGTATACACCTGCAGCCCATGGAAGGGACCCCACACTGGAGCAGGTGGATGCCTGAAGGAGGCTGTGACCCCATGGGGAGCCCGCGCTGGAGCAGGCTCCTGCCAGGACCTCTGGACCTGTGGAGAGAGGAGCCCATGCCGGAACAGGTTTGCTGGCTGGGCTTGTGACCCTGTGGGGGACCCACGCTGGAGCAGCCTGTTCCTGAAGAACTACACCCCGCGGGTAGGACCCACTGGGGCAGTTTGTGAAGAGCTGCAGCCTTTAGGAAGGACTCACATTGGAGAAGTTTGTGGAGAACCGTCTCCCGTGAGAGGGACCTCACGCTGGAGCAGGGGCAGAGTGTGAGGAGTCCTCGCCCTGAGGAGGAAGGAGCGGCAGAGACAACGTGTGATGAACTGCCTGCAGTCCCCATTTCCCGTCCCCCTCTGCCCCTTGAGGGGAGGAGGGAGAGAAACAGGAGTGAAGCTTCCTGAGCCCAGGAAGAAGGAAGGGGTGGGGGGAAGGTGTTTGAAGATCAACTTTTATTTCTCATTATTCTACGCTAATTTGATTGGTGATAAATAAAACTTTTTTTTCTCCCCAAGTTGAGTCTGTTTTTCCCATGAGGGTGACTAGTGAGTGATCTCTCCCTGTCCTTGTCTCGACCCACGAGCCTTTCATCATACCTCCTCTCCCCTGTCCAGCTGAGGAGGGGCAGCGATAGAGTGGTTTTGGTGGGCACCTGGCATTTATCCAGGTAAAACCAAAACAGTTGGCCCTCATCCCTCCAGGTCTGCCTGCCCTGTCAGGGCTACCCTAGTGTGCTGCGTGACTGGAGATGCTGGGAGGAGACCCCTACACACCCTGGCCACCAGTGCAAGCTCTTCCATCACTTATGAGAGAAAACTTGGCTGAGTTGCAAATGTTAGAGCTCCACATTAGACTCGCCCTTCTACTTTATCTCAGTCTATCTGCCATAAATCATGTCAAATTTTATGCTTCAGAAGAAATAAAAAGTTCATTTCAAAAACTACAGTGATGAAAAACTAGGAAAGAGCCCTACAAAACACAGACCACACAGCTCACTACCTGTTAAGATTGTTGTGTATCAACAAAAGCGGAGCAAACATGTCAGTAAAGAAAACAGGTTCTGGTTTCAGGGTCACAAAGGAATTGCTACATGCAGTCAAGAGTGAAAAACCTTTTAAGATCTGAAAAATCGTCCTATAATTTGGTTTCTCAGCTGTGACAAAGTCCTGGCCTGCAGTGATCACTAAAGGCCCAACACACTGCCAAAGGAAACGTGTATTAGCTGCAGCACTGTATCAATCCCAAAACACAGTGCATTTCTACCACTCCATAATGTCTCTGGCATTTTGGTCTGGAAAACTTAATTTTCACTCTGTGTGAGGAACCCAAAGGGAGCTTTATTCTTTATTTTACTCTCCTATGCTAACCCCCTCTTCATGCATGCATTTTCCATGAATATCTTCTGATCCATACTAGACGCATGGCCCAGCACAGTGCTATGTGAGCATTTTAATTTTTTATGAAGTTCAGAGCTGCCATATCCCTCTTATCAGAACTACTCCCATTCTCCAGGTGCTTTATTTAGGATGGAAGCTGGTCACAGAGACAAATCCATAGTGTCACTGAATCCCAGTGGATTTAAAATCCTCCTGACTTCTGTGCGCATTGCTGATTGACAGCATCAATCAACAAAATCTCACCACTCTTCTCAGTTTTTCTATTATTCACAAGCCCTTTGTATCAGAGTGCCTTACACAAAAACAAAAGGCAGGGTTTACAGTCTGTTATTACCTATCCAGACCTGGAAGCAGTTGGGATGAATGGAAGGACTATAAAGTTCTTTCCTGTAATGCTGCGCTCTATTCGTGTCTCTCACCTTCTCCCGCCCCATCCCTTCTCCCGTGTAAATCCTCCTTGGAACGTTGCTTTTCCGAAAGAATATCTATTGGGAATGGCTGTTTGAGGAAAAAGAGAAGAATGAAAATCAGTGAGAAGTTAATCTTTGTATTCATTGTATTCATTCTTTGTATTTAATTAATTTTGTTGTTACAAAAGAAGATGAACGGTTGCATTTAAGCTGTTTTTAGCCGTAATCCTAGCACTTCCATTTGCTCATTATGCTTGTAAGACCACATGAAGAGTATTGCATGAAATTCATTACCAGGGAAGTACAGAAAAATTGGAGGAACGGTAACAAAAAAGGGTTAGTTCACAACAGTGATTTATTTATGAAGAAAGATTAATAGCTAAACTCAGGAGCCCAGCTGAAGGGAAATAATTGGAAAGGCTCTCAAAGGACCCTCTGGAAACAGGCTCAGATCTCAGACTGTGAAAGTCCTTACTCATTTTTATTTAGTCTGCGTTCAAGAAAAGCTCCAGTTAAAAATTAAACAGGGGGAAAGTGGCTAGAAGTATTTTCCAGATCTGAGTATCAAGCAAGGCTTTATATAGCTAATGTGAGCGGTGGCCTTTGGTGACAAGCAGCTGGGAAGTAGAACTGTACACAGGTAAATGATTTCTCTTGGGAAGCTTTAGCGGCTGCCTCTGGACCAGAAAAGAAAACAGCCAGGATCTGTTCTTTGGTCCTGAAGCTGAACCACAAGAAGGGGGAGAAATGGACTCAGGGCCCAGGCACTACCTGGGTGCCAGGGTTCCCACAGCTCCACACAGTGTGGCCGACAGCACACCTCTGCTTCAGCCCCTCTTTTGGCCCTGGTTAGTTTGCAAATATGGATGTAGACTGGGCCCAGAATCACGTCCCGCCAGTCACACAGCATCATACTGCTGGCAGTAGAGTGACCTGCGTAGGAAAATAAATTAAAAAAAAAATACCACGAAGCACAGACCTTACTAAAATCTTCAGCCAGATCCTGAGGGAAACATACCCTTCATTTATTCCTTGCTGTTATCAGACAAATAGTCTTGAAAAGCAAAGATGAGCAAGTACGGAACAGTATTTAAAACATATTTACTAACATCCTTTTGCTTGACTGTCTCAAAAGACAGAGAATTTTCCTTTGCTGACACCCCTTTCTTTTTTAATTTTGGGTTTATTAACTAGATTTCTCCTGTCTGGTTCACGAGGAGTGTAGAGATTACATCATTACAGCTCTGTAAATTATAAACACAAATGAACAGTCTTAGATTCTCTTGTGAAAATGCAATTCACCAATTATTTCTCCTCCAAAGCATTAATTGTGACAGGATACTGGAGAAAAAAAAAAGGCAAATCCAAATATTATCACATGGTCATTTAGTTACTCAAACTTTAATTACAAGTAGCACTAGGGTATTTCAGGAATTCCATAGGAAGGCTGGTCCTTGATTTTCTGTGGGGTTTTTTTGTTTTCCTTAGCCTTCTCATTAATGGAACACATTGGGATAATGTAATCTTTTTTTTTATAAGTCACCAAGACACAGACTGTTTTAGAAACAGCACTACAAAGTATTATCCACTACAAAACACTGTTAAGGGAGGTTTTATGTGTTCCTGGAGAATTATATAACAGTTCTGGATTGCTCTCCTGAGAGATACAAACCTGTAAGCATGACATGGAGCCTGGTGAATGAACGTAATATATTCAAGCAGAACTCTTTGTACACATATATTTAATTATAAAAATAGTTATATCTTTTTTAAGTTTGTAGCAGCAGTCATTCTATCCAGAAAGTTTTTTGTGCTGGGGTTGCTTTTTCCTCCCTCAGACACAGAAAAGAAACTCTTAACGTGATTTTTTTTAATGCTCTGCAACAGTGTGGTTAAGTTCAAGCGACCCTGATCCTACAGATGAGGTCACCATGCTGTAAGGGGAAATATATGCCAGATGCTGCAACCATGTTATGGTCTTGGTAAGAAAGAAGAACGAGACTTCTCTTCCTGCTACCATTTTTTGGAGGGACGTTAGCCTTGCAACACCAAAGAACATATTTTAAAATTTGCTTTTAAAAATCAATCTATCATGCCTTTGAATAACAAATAAATGGCCATATAGAACGCTGCCTATAAGAAAGGCAGGTAAGAGCTTGTCAGAGCATATTTAGCATCGATTTTTTTGAAAACCTTGAGACTAGAAACTTACTGATTTTTTAAAGTAAGCCTAACATTCCTATAATAACAAGTTTCCAAGATCTTACGCAAAACAGGAAAATTGTCAGCAATGTACGCAATCTCAGCATGCTCCCTGCAAAAGCAACACGCTGATTAAAAAGCCCTTTTAAATAGCTTGAGGAAACTTGGGATGGTTGCGTTGATACTAAGGAACAAGACAGGCGGCCTTACACCACGCACCGCATCAGGTTCTCAGAAGTGTTACTAGCCTGAGCACGTGAAAAGCGGAAACGTACACTTTGAGGGTTTCACTATATCCAGTGATAGTGGAGCATTTGCTATTGGATGCTGCAATTCTGGCTTCTCTGTCAAATACCATGTGCCCTGAGCGAACACTGAAACAGCTTCTGTCTTAGGTTTCTTACAGACAAAAGAGTGAGAGGATGCTGAGATGCTACACAAAGCTATCGAACAGGAACCTGTAGCCAAGGCACAAAAAAAGTAATTGCTGAAATTTTTTAAAAGAATTTCGATGTAGAGGGCTACACAGAGGACTATATGGGCTATATAGAGGACAACAAGCTTTGTGACATTACCAAACGTGTTTGCTTCTCCTCTACCTTTTAGAAACAGGTCTTTTAAAGTAGGATTTTTTGACATCCATTTCAAACCATTTGCTCTGCACACTGCATCAAGGCTTCATTAGGTTTTTTTGGATAATGAAAAGGTTGTGTTGGTTTTTAGATTCTTCTGAAGCCTTTAATAGAGAGCAGTCCTGTGTCAGAACTTTTAATTAAATGCAAGCGACTTCTCTTGCTTCCTAAAGCTCTGATAATGCCAAGCATGTTTTCCAAGCATAGTTCAACATTACTGCTAATGCTACGGTTTATACTGGCAGAGTTCCAAGTCAAATCACTGTATCTGTCCTGACCAGGGGGATCTATCCTGCAGCCCTCAAGTTTTCAGAAAGCCCATCTTCTAGACAATGATTAAGTATGCTGTAATATAATGCTCTTATAACAACCCTCACCTCTTTTTTTTCAGTGTTTGCATATGTCTCAAGCTCTGCTAGTTCAATGCTTGATAAAGCCTGTAAGACATATCTGTCTCACTCATGGCATGTTTGACATCTTCTCAAATTCATTATATCTGGGGAAAAACAATGTCTGTGGAATTATCACTTTCTGCCTTACCTATAGAAATGTCATCCAGCTGTGAAGAGAATTCACATGAGAAACGCTGGTAAGTAACAGTTTTAATTTATCTGCAGTCAATTTACAGCCCCTTTTCACCAGCCACCACCCTCCAAAAGATTCCCTATGTTAGCATCTGTTTGTGGGATCCTTGGACCTCCAAAATCACCATCCTCTAGTATTAGGTCATGCAGGTGGTAGGTGACAACTCCTGGGCCTCCTGCCATCTTCCAGGAAGCTCATCACTAGCAGTAAGGATAGCTCACTGACATTTGGGTCCAGCGCTTGAATTTAGCATCTCAGGAGGCAGCTAGGCTAGGTTGCAGTTATCCATAATTTCCCTTCCTCACAAGTATTGCTGTGGAGACGTTTCCTCTATGGCATCCTGAAAAATCTTAGGGAACAGCAAAACCCTTCCATCTCAAGAGGAATGAAAGTTTAAATTTCTCTGCCACTTCTGTCTCCTGATGTGCTATATACATCACCTACTTTCATGCGCTGAGGGCTTCCAGCTGATGCTTCTGCACGGCAAACTCAGACTGACTTTTGGAGTTCAGCAGACAAGAATCTCTTGAATCCCAGCAGAGCAGCGGGGAGCACTGAATATCCAAACGAATCTGAGACAGGGGGACCCCACCGATCCTAGTCAGATCCAAAGATGAGCTGCCAGTCATCCCTTTAAAGGGGATGTCTGTCATGGGACAACACTAAGCAAGGTAGAAAGCCTTATTTAATTCTGGAGGCTGACATTAATATAAACCTTCAGTGTACAAACAGTATCTGCCAGAATGTTCTGAAGATTGTTTCCAGAGTAGGATTTCAAATACCCGTTTAAAGGATGGAGATTTATATGTGCATACTTTTTATTAAGTGAAAACTCGCCACTCTGTGTCAAGACACAAAGCAGTAAGAGACAGCGCAAATGATTTCTCCTTGTTCGTTGTGACCATTAGCTTTTTAGGCCTTTGGATTTTTTTCCCGCTGAATGCAGCCATATTGAGTTTGAATTTATAAATAGATTCTTCCCCATGGACAGAAGAGTAATAACTTCTTTAGTGTCATGTTAGATTATACTCTAAGAGTCATGAATTATCATGGCAGTGATATTACAGTGCATTAGGAGGTAAAGTCATAGGGTTGTCAAAGCGTGTTTTCCTTTTACTGTACATTCTTGGCTTTTGGGGTGGAATTCAAAGTGAGACATGATGGAGAAAAAGCCAGTCCCCAAAGCTGATCTAAGATTTCAAAGTATTTTTCAAGTTGTGATTTAAAACCTTCATGACAGAATAATTTCTGACTGCATCTCCTGGCCTTGTGTTCGTCTGTTTTTTAAAGCCTAACAATCTTGTCTTGCACATGTGTTGTAAATTTCTGAATCTATACAACTGCTCATTTATTTTTATGCTTTTCACTGTTATAACATGACTTTCATGGGTGAAATCCTTCTTGTGTTACATAAAATGGAAGATTTACTTTAGCTTCTATTCTCTAACTGCATGGGTAGCTGTCTTGAGCACAGGGAAGAAAGAACGAAGCAGATGGGAACCTTAAACTTGGCTGCGCTGTGGAGATGAGTAAATCATTTAGTCCCAAATTTTCAAAAGGATCCTCTGATTCTCAGTGCTCGACCACCCAGCTCTAGAAAACAGATCTTACTTCACCTGAGCAGCAAATAGTTACATTTTTTGAAATTGAGGGTTACCTATTTAAAGCCTGGCACAGAGGAAGCCATTCATAATGGAAATCCCTGGAAACATTCAAGACCACATTGGACGGGGATCTGAGCAACCTGATCTAGTTAGTGGTGTCCCTGCTCGCTGCGGGGGTGTTGGACTAGATGACCTCTAGGGGTCCCTTCCGACCCAAAACTTTCTATGATTCTATGATTCTATAATCAGGAGGCATCTAACCCTTAGCATCTCTGTTCCTCCGTTTATGTCTTTACAAAATAGAGTATTTCCTTAATGAAATGACAAAGAGGAATGTAAGACACCGTACAGGAATTCAGCATGTATAGTACGGACTCTAGAAAGAGAAGGAAATTCCAGAGTCAGGCTTGCTGTATACAGTATTACATTTGTATTTTCAGAACAGACTGGGGCACTCAGACATCCAGTTTCACTTACACGAATACACAGTTAAATGTGAAATCGTGGTTCATAAGAAAAAAGTATCTTGAAGCACTGATTCAAATGTATCACTGCATAACACCATTAAGCACTACGGTAAGCTAATGCTCTAAATTTTTTAAATTAACATGAATGTCTCTGTCCCCTCTCCTGTCTCCCTTTTATAGGCCATGTGTTTTCAGCCTGCCATGTAAAGGAGTTATTTCGTTATCTGTGAATCCGGCTGGAGAAAGAATACCATTATTTAAAGTTAACTCGCACAAGAACTGAAAAAAAGCTATTTCAAGACTTTATGTTTGCCTGAGACTTGCAGCTGGTTTTAAAAATCATAAAAGTTGTATTTACATGTCTCTGTCTTTTTAGAGATGTTACTTGACACAGCAATGTAGGTATTCCCAGAAATGGAGAAGTGGCAGAGAACCAGGACAGGACAGAGGGAGAGTCCATGCTCTCCTGTGTCCGGCTGAGCTGACGGCCCCTCAGTTTTGTGAGGAAGCTGGCGTAGAGAGGGTCGTTCTTTGTAGGGCAGTCCTGTGGGCGGAGGGGTTCCTGGATCATGGTTGGTCAGGAGTCATAAACCAGTGTGAAAAAGGACTGCGTCTCTTTTAGCTTGGACCAAAAGGAACTGTTGAATATTGATATATTTTATTATACGTTCACTTTTTATCAACATATGTACAAAAACCCTTTGCTTCCCTTTAGAAGGGTATGTCCATGCCGTTGACAGCTTCTCAGAAGCTGGGCAAACTATCAACTGCTGTGTCCAGACTGGTACATTATTTACAGTAACGTCAGGCATTTCCACGTTGCACTTTGGAGCGCGAAAACACCCAGTTAACTTGATTTCAAACAGAAGGATTCACCAGCCCTTGCACCAGCACCTACTGCTTCTGCCTCTCCTTTAGCCTGCGGGCCAGCAGGCTGACCTGGCAGCAAGACACGCGTGGGGGCCTGCACTTTAGTCAGCCTGACATCAGCCCAAAGCAAAGCAAAGGAGACACTGGAAGAAAACACGGTTAAAAAATTAAAGAGGGGGCAAATGAAAACACAAAAGTTAGCAAGACGGATTTTATTTTTTGAAAATAAACCTTATCAAACGAACTTAATTCTCTGATGAAAACATATACTAGGCGACAGGGGTGAACGCGCGAAATACAACTATGTGGCATTTGATT